GAGTGGGTATTTATGTATTTACACCAACGGACATGAAATTTATGGACTTCCACCAACAGTTCCGCAAACACCGACACAATTTATGTGTTTTTATACCAACAGAGTGCATATCCGATAACCGGGTCTCTCACCTGAGGGATAGTTTAGTCATTCTTGCTAACCTCGACCTAATTCTTTTTTCATATAATCGTGCGACTTAGTCGGATCTTCAATCCAACTTTTTCGAGCCCACCCATCATCCACCTACTTGGTGTCTGATGTCAACCATGCACACACACACCCACACTCATGGCTATGGATGTGATTCCTCCGTGCAAATGCAATGTAATGCACTATTGATATATCAAGCAATGGCATAATAAGCAAGTTTAACCACATTTCTACATATTTTATGACCAATTATATCATATATATATAATTACCAAACTTTATCATAATCTTAATATATCGATGAACATATATCAACAATTTATTTTCAACAATATTTCTCAAGCATGTTATTACATAATATTTGCCAATAACATACTCTGATTACAAGGCATAATATAAACACGTAACATGCTCACATAATACCAAATTTAATTTAATCACACAAATAATTTCCACATATTTATTCTAAGCTAGGAATTTTGTTTAAACCATTTCTATACCGATTTTCATTACCCATTTCCTCAATTTCACAAACCTAGGCAAGTGATATATAACTCTATCAACCTACCCATCTCATATAACATTTTAGGTTAAGAATTAAACCAAATTAGGAAGGAACCCTACCTCTTAAAGCATAAAATGACGTTGGGAAGCCTCAAGAACCCAAAATAAGCTTGAATCCTTACTTCCCTAAAATTCCGTCCTTGGAACCTTCGGTGAAACCCTTCGTTTTTGGTGTGATCACGTAGCCCTCGACGAGAGGAACAACGTTTCCTCTTGACTCGAGTTGATTTGAGCACCCGAGCTCTGTAGATCGTAGAAAGAAATGGAGAACCCAAGCCTTTTTCCTTCTCTTCCTCACACACGTTAGAACCAACTGATGAATAGGGGGAGAAATCATATTTTTTCCCCTATTTATACCACTGATTTGCTTGGCCCACAATGTGCCACACGACCCTTTTTTTCTCAGGTCCGTTTTCGTCCTGAAGCGATTAAATTTCGTCCTGATTTAAGTTTAAAATATTTTTATTTTTATTTATCTCAAATTATTTTTTAAATTTCAAAATTTTATTAAAAATTTCGTTTTTGGGTCACCCAAGACTTGACCGCCTCGTAAAATGCATAAAATTCGATTATCTCAGAATTCGATGAAATTTGATAGGATAACTATATTTCGCGAGATGAATCCAATAGTGAGGTCCGTTTTGTCATCCGAGTTCTAAAAAAATTTAGGTTTACAACCCGTACCGTATTGATAAATTATCGTTTTACTTATTTTATAAAAAGTTTAAATTTATCCGATTTTTACATATAAGACCAATTTATGCTTATACAAGAGCTCAATAACCTTAAAATCACACAAGGACCACAATTCTCATAATGTTGATTGTTTTCCTTGGAGATTATTATGTTTCATGTATCTAAGAGCTTTGTATCCCTCCAAGAACGAATACCAACAAAATTCTTTGTGGATTGGTGGTAGGTCAATTGATAAATGGGAATTGGATGAAGGGCGTGAGAATATTGTATTGTCAATTCTTAGTATTGGTTTAGTGGTTAAACTTGACTTTTGGTAATTCAGGGGTATCAAATTTAATTATTTTTCACACCTCCTAAGGGTTAATCACTCATATCTTTTTAGGGACATGTTTTAATATAACTCAAGTCATAATTAACGTAAACTTAGACACCCTGTAACAAGAAATAAAAAGACAATATTGTCTTGTCTTCATAGCAAGAGGAACTACCAACATTTTGCAAACCTTTGCTTGAAAAGTAATCAAAATGATTGGTACACCTTTTTGTTGGGTCATGATGGATCTGTAACAAATTTATTACCATGCAATAGCCATTGTCTAGGCTTGCCCTCATGTTTCTTCTCTCCTGGCTTTGTGCAAGATTGGGATGGGCATGCCATATTATGAGCCCGGTTGGCGATTTTCACTGTTATATTTAAGGATGTTAAAATATGACACGATTAATTAACAAAACACAAATACTATATAAAATTAAAAGATTTAAATCTTTTTTAAGTCATTTATTTTGTAAATTAATGGATCTGACACAAAACAATTAATAAACGAATTGGGTATGAGTGAAACCAATCAAAAAAAATATACGACATGACTTATTTATATGTTAATTATACGTATTTTATATACGACACAAATTCGATATAATCCGACTCGTTCGAAACGAATTAATAAACAAATTGAGTATGAGCGAAGTATTTTTTTAACATGAGCCTGCTAAAAACCGCCTCACCCGGCACGATTGACAGACCTAGTTATACTAAGTCTCCACATTGATAAGATACAACCATCTAATAATAAGGTATCTATAAGGTACATAGATCTCATATAATTAAATTAGTTATTATTTGTGTCTAAAGGTATAGAGTAACAAAAAAAATTGTCAATCATAAATATATTTATATTCACACCCAAAATCAAATTATAAATATAGAGGAGAGAAAAAATAATTTAAATATCGGTTGTAATTGGGGGCGTGGTAGTGATAGTGAGAGGCAGTGGCGGCGGCAATGATTGTGGTGGTGGTGATGGCAATCATGGGGTGGCAATGGTGATGGTGGTACTGGGTCTTGGATAACAATGGTGCTAGTAACAACCATGAGTGACGATGAGGGCAGTGGGTTTGGGTTTGGGTGTGGGTGATGGTGGGGCGATGATGATGATGCTGGTGGTAGTGGGTTATGGTGGTAGGCGATGATGATGATGGTGGTGGGTGTGAGTGGTAGTAGGTGATAACGGATGCTTGTAGGTGACGTGGTGCACTACAACAATTATGGGTTTTAGTGACAAATTTTTAAGTGACCAAATTATTTTCGTCATTAATAATACATTTTTAATGATGACATGTGAATTTGTCACTAATGGTCCAGAATGAGTGACGATAATACTATTTGTAAAAAAAAAGTTAACTTTTAGTGATGACTAATTGTTCGTCATTGTAACTTCATCACTAAAAATATGAGAAATTAGATAAATAGTGATGAATTTTATTATCGTCACTCAAAATGATAAACAATTATTTTTTAGTAATAAGATTAGTTGTCTCCAAAAGTTTCAAGATTTTGGCGATGACTTTAATGTTGTCACTAAAACATTAATGACTTTGGTGTCGTCACTAAAACACTAATGGCTTTAGTGGTGACTTGGATGTCATCACTAGAACTTTCATAGGTTTAGTGACAACAATGGTGTTGTCATAAAAACTTTTATATTTTTAGTGATGATTGTCAAGTAGCCACTAAAACTTTCATATTTTTAGTAACTAAATTAATTATGTCACTAAAATTAATTTAGTTTATGTTACTACATTGTCAAGTGGCTTATTTTATATCGTTTGAAAATTTTCAAATTATACCATATCGATATGTCATTCCTCACATCACCTCTTAACTTGCAAAAATTAAAAACACAACGCTCTTTGTTATTTCTAGAGTAAACTATACCTTAATTAAGTATAAATTTAATTAACGGTGAATTTGTAAAAAATGCTCTTATCATTCCCACATAATCTTCTAGTGCTCTTATCAACGGTGAAATTGTAAAAAGTGGAAAATTTTATTATGGTTAATGGTCACCTCTCCATAGCTTCGACATTATCTTCTAGGGTTTCTTCGTAGGCTAATTTGCATAAATTTAAACCAGAATAATCATTCACATAAGTAGTAATATAGTAGATTTGTAAGCAGTGAGATTATTTTAGGAAGATTGAGATGATGGGTGCCTAACTAATGAGTACCTTATGACCAGTGTTGTTATGATGTGAAGAGAAGGTTGAGAACTTGATGGGAGTCAACAATCAAGTAGGTCGATTTGTTGATGCATATAGTAAATGAAGGAAATAAGAGAGGCTGGTGAAGAAAGAATAAGAACTAAGAGTCGAAGTTCAACAAATAATCGATAACGAACGGTTTGAAAAATACGGCCGCCAAAGTTATGTTTTGATATTTGAAAATTACACTCACTAAACCTATACTTTATTAAAATTTTAGTGGGAACAAGATTCAAAAAATTTTATCTAGGTCCCAATTTTTTTTAAAATTCTATAATTACCTTTGTTCACATGTCACTCTTATAAACATGAAAACCAGCAAAACATTGTCAAATAAATTTAAATTGTCAAATTCTCGAAGTCAATCTCTAAGATTGTCCCTTATCCGAGATATATTGACTAATATAGCAATTCTGTCACGTTGTGTTGCACATGACATGTTTATCATTTAATAAACATCTTGATTGATTAGTATAACACTATTGAAATAGCTAATGACATCTTTATTATTTAATAACTCAAAAAACATAAATATTCTTTCATACTTTTAAAAATTACAAAACACCACTACAATTTTGAACAAATCACAAGACAAAGATAAACATTCATTTTAATATCTCTGTAATCATGTCTTTGTGTGTGTGTGTGTGTGTGTTTGTGATTCATTAATAACATAAAAACTTGCAAACGTCAATATGTTTCATATTTTTTTGAATTAGTATACTACTTTAATTTATACATTAAAACAACACTGTCGTTCTAAATTAATATGATAACTGCTTATTTAATTTTTTTTCCTTATTACTATAATTATAATAAATAACCAGTTTAATTATAATATCATATTGATTAGAAAAATATTAATGTAAAAATTATAAGATGGTCTAAATTAAATTTATTCTCATATAATATATGTAATATACATTTATATATTTATTATCAAATAATAATATTATAAAATAATAATAACTTAATATTACCGCTACATTTTTATATTTACTCAATCAAGAGGCCTGCTTCTTCCCAAGTCCCACCCCATCCATCCCTCCAACTGGTTTCGTCCGCCCGCCCGCCCAAATTCTCACAGGCTTCCAAAAGTCAAATCACCAAACCAACAACCTAGTACCTCGCCCAACCCCCACAGATGTATCTTACCCCAAAACCACACACAGAGATCACTAGCAATGGCACCCGCAGTAGCCTCTTTCACTCTCTCCAGACTCCTCTCTTCCCCCAAACCTTTCTCTCTTTCCACCTCTCTCCTCCCCCTCAAACTCCGTTCCCAGCGCCCAAAACCCCTCAAATTCTCCTCCTTCTCCACCACCACCACCACCATTTCAAAAATCTCCGCAATCTCAGTCGGAAACAAACTCCCCGAATCCACCTTCTCTTACTTCGATTCCGCCGACGAACTCCAAACCACCACCGTCTCCGACCTCACCAAGAACAAGAAAGCCATCCTCTTCGCCGTCCCCGGGGCTTTCACGCCAACTTGCTCCCAAAAACACCTTCCGGGTTTCGTCGAAAAAGCATCAGACCTCAAGTCCAAAGGGGTAGACACAATCGCTTGCGTTTCGGTCAACGACGCCTTTGTGATGAAGGCGTGGAAGACTGATTTGAAGATTGGCGATGAAGTCTTCTTGTTGAGTGATGGGAATGGGGATTTTACCAAGGCAATTGGGTGTGAGTTGGATTTGAGTGATAAGCCTGTTGGGTTGGGTGTGAGGTCAAGGAGGTATGCAATGTTGGTTGAAGATGGGGTTGTGAAGGTGTTGAATTTGGAGGAAGGTGGTGGTGCTTTTACGTTTAGTGGTGCTGAAGATATGCTCAAAGCTCTGTAATTTTTCAGGGAATGATGAGTTCTTTTCTTGTGTTGATTGTAGGATGGCTACTTCGATCAATAAATGGATGATCGGATCGGACATGGGCATGCAATTTTTGGGTAATGAGAGTTTATGGTTTTGTGAATCGGGTTTATGAGTACATGTATTAGGGTGGATAATTGAGCAAACTTATTCAAGTTCGACTCGGATAAGACTTCATTCGATTTTGACTCATTTAAGAAGTTTGAACGATTTTTTAAATTCGTTTAGAAAAACATCCTAAAAAATTCGACTTAAACTCACAAAATTCGATTCGTTTATATGTAAAATAATTGAGTTATTCGAACTTAACTTATTTTTGAGTTTGAGTCATTTTTCAATTGAGCCGAGTTTTGAACAAATTTTTAAGTTTGTTGAAAACTACGAGCTTGATAGGCTCAGTCAGTGATCTCAAAACTCGACTTGATTATCAGTTCTAAATATGTGTGTGTGTGTGTGTGTTTTGAAGAAAATATTCGATGGCTAATTTGGTGTTTGTGATGAATTATTAGGATGCGTTGGGAATTCCTTGGTTTTGTTTCCATTATCTTTTGGTTGCTTGATTGGCATGCATGTGGATTACAAAGCTTTTATGTGGTGAAAAAGTTTCTTAATATGTGAAATTTCGGTCACGTTTTTTTTTTTTTTAAAAAAAACCTTTGGGTCTCAGCCCTTTCATTGATAACCACTAGAAAAACAGTCTTGTAACAAAATTGCTTTAAGCTCATCAGGTGGATCATAAATCCAATTACAATGAAGTGAGTCTCAATTCATTGATTTAGCCACCCAGTTTGCTGCCTGGTTTGCGTTCCTCGGAACACTATTCTGAAACTTCAAACTATCAGCTGCATTTCTGATGTCATCTACCAATGCTTCAATTTCCCATGGAGTCACTCCTTCCTTTGAACTCAGTGAGATAAAACTACTTCTTCTCACTTCCAATACAAGCTTCAGTTGCTCCAATAGAGAGAGCCCATTGACAAACTTCCCTCACTGCCGTTGCTTCAGCATAGCTACTAGACACCTAAGGAGTTTTCATGCTTCTTCCCTCTATCAGATTACCAGCTTTTTTAACATCTCCATGCTCTGCTTAACAAAAAATGAGTTCATTGTATATAACTCGATGGGAAGTAAGGTTCATATGCGACATTTCTTGAACTATTTTCACTACAAGCACCAGCCCACCCTTGCGGCATTGACTAATTAAAGGGTGACAAGTGTTTATGGTAGGCTTCATCCCTAAACTTTTCATGTCATAACTCCAAACACTTCTGAGTGTTCCCTATATCAGAAGAGCCTTTTCTTCAGCTTTGGCTATTTTACCCTTTTTGCAAAGCTCGTTAATGAGTGAATTATATGTCAGTGTTGGAGCAGTATCATTTCTTAACATCTCTTCAAAAAATCTGGTAGCATCTTTCTGTGTTTCCTCCATTGCAATGACCATCAATGAGCATGTTATATATTTGTGCTGTCCGCTGAAACCCCTCTATCTTCCATATTTCTGAGTAGTACTTCAGCTTCAAGTGGCCTACCACCCTTGCATAAACGATTTATCACAGCCATAGCTTACAACATTGGGCTTCAATCCATTATTCTCCATTTCCTTGAGAATGCTAAAGCACCTCTCAAACTGGTAACTCTGTCCATAGCTATCAATCATGAGTGTTTGAAGTCTGCACATTGGGGGCAGCTCCATTCTCTGCCATCTTCTTTACCTATTCCTCTGACTCAGCAATATTGCCTAATTCACAGTATTTGTTCATCACTTTATTGAACATAATGCAGCTCGGCTTCATATCCCATCAGTTTGCCCCCCACAAACAAACACAACCATATAGCATAGAGCAGCCCAAAGGTACAAAACATCACTACAAGGAGCAAAAACGAGCTACAATTTTGTTTTTAAAAAATCTCTCATCAGTTTAATCTTCAAACAAACCCAACCACAATAAAAAGGAGGGGAAAAAATTCTACAAAGATCTCACAATTTCAAATCTACTGGTAATGAAAAACGCAGAGTACTATTCCTTCGCTTCCCTGCTGTTTCTTCTTGTTATCTTCTCTGCATGGTGTCAAGAGCCACATAATCGAACTGTACCTTTACCTCAAAGAATAGCCTGCATGTTTCTTTTTACATGTGGTGCCGAGGAAGGCAAAAGTATAGGGTGAGAGACACCACAATGAACTATATTGAGAGTCACTTCAGAAGTTCCATTAAGAGTTGGGAACAAAGGTGCCAACATAACAAACCCCCGCAATAAAGAAAGCAATTTCTTGGACAAAGAGGTATATGAAGTAGTGGTTTTTCCAAAAGGCAACGTCGTAGCAACAACAGAAAAAGAGGTAAGCACCATTGCCAAGCTCCAACAAGTGAAGCCTATTGACATCCAAACAATAATTAGGTACTTAAATCTGATATAATGGTTTATACAAGGACATTTTTTATACATGCCACATTTGTTCAATTGCAAAATCCATGATGAAGAAACTAATCTGTGCAGGCATAGGAAGCTTTCTATTGAAAATTTATACCTTTCTCAAATCCTAACCCAAGGTCTCTTAAATGCTTTGAAGGCTGATTTTAACTTGAGAGCATCTCCGAGGTTTTCAGTGACAACCCATTCACTCATTCTCCCTGCCTCCAGCAGACCAATGAAGGCAGTGTTAGTCCGGTGTAGTGAGATGACATTCTCAAAAAGGATCCAGAAAACCAGTAAGTGAAGTGACCTACAGGATAAAAATAAAAATCATAAGAATCTCAAGATGGTTCGAGAGCTACTAGGAATATCTTAGCTCCAGTACAAAAAGCAAAATCCTTGGGGGACAGAATTAATGATTCAACAACCAACTTCTCTAACAACATTTAGAATCAATGTTTTTCCTTACCTCTTCCCATTGTAGGCATAGAATTTTATTTTATGACTTGAGTGCCACAAAAGAATTGTTTCAATACAACCAAATGAAGGAAATATATTTGAGATGCAGATAAAAGAAAACCTTGGGGTTCCAATTGCATTAAGTATGGTAATGATGGAAAGAATGTAAACTGCTCCCCAACTCGGAACCTCAACTTCAGGTACCAACACTGTTGCGGGTAACACTATGCAGTAAAACCCGAAAGTGACAATATGGGCTACAATCTTCCTAACCAAGAAGAAGCTGTAGATTACATGAACCTTCATCCACAAAGATACTTTCTGCAATTAAACATTCGAAAGAAGCCCAAAAAAAGAGAGGTGAATGAGGACTTATTCGTATCATTGGCTTTTACATTCTCAAGCAAGAGTAAAACTTCAAGGAGAAAGAAAATTAGTGGGGGCAGCTGCCCTTATCCCTTATAATCTCCATTACCATTTTCCTGAAAAGATTGGCAGGACCACAAGACCAACAATGCTGTTGGTAGCTATAAGTCTTGAATGTACTTGGCAATTCGTTTTTCACCTACATTTGAGAGAAAAGCACATAAGAATCTAAAAATAAAAATGTTTGCAAAGAATTTGTCAACTCAAGTTTCAAGTATACTGAGAACTACAAATAAAGGCACTGACAGAGGAACCATACTCTCCGTTGCTCCACCAGCATTAAACACAAGTTCATATTTATGATGCGTGGGATAAGGTCAATTAAGACTGACCTAGACTTCGTTTAAATTCTGAAACTGTTGCCTAAAGGAAGTATCACAACAAGTTCAATGACTATGAAATACATAGCTGCCATAAACTGTCCATGGTCTTTAGCATCTACTTTCTGTGTATTTCTTTTTTCCGTTTTGAATTGAATATCTGTTTTCTTTGTGAAAAAATTGCTCGCACTACACTCCTGTTGACCATCATAATTGTAATATGGGTCTTTCAAATTATTACCTATGCCTTCCTCCGGAAAATAAATTATGATTTTGACAGCTGGACTGAGCAAATTGTCTCCCCTACATTTTGGAAACAGCAGCAAGATACTCACTTGTGCTCCAATCCCCAAGTCTTTTAAGACTCATTTCAGAGCAGATAATGGCGGCCTCTTCCAACTTTCCTTCCTCTCTAAGACCAGAGGTAAGAACATTACAAATACTGAAACTAGGAAGAAAACCATTCTAAAACATTTGTCTGTACCAAATAAATGCCCCACAGAAATCCTTAAGCTTGCAATATCCTTGATCAGTATGCTTTAAGTATCCCCTTTACGAACCAATCCTCCAGTCTTCATATCGCCGACAATATTATTTGCTTCCTGGAACTTCCCCTCTTTAAAGCACCCCATAATCAAGCTATTATAAGTCATTCTGTCAGGGTGAATTCCCCGGTTCAACATCTCATGGTGCAAGGCAAATGCTTTTTTAACATCTCCATGCTCTGCATAACAAAAAATGAGTTCATTGTGCACAACTTGATCGGGAGTAAGGTTTATCTGCAACATTTCTTGAAATATTTTCTCTAGAAGCACCAGCCCACCCTTGCTGCATTGACTAATTAAAGGGTGATACGTGTTTAAGGTGGGCCTAATCCCTAAACTTTTCAAGTCATCGTATAACTCTAAACCCTGCTGGGTTGTTTTCCTTTATTAGAATACTCCGAGATTAGGGAATTGTATGTGATGACATCTGGTTTTAAACCTTTACTTTTAATCTGAAGAGCCATTTCTTCAGCTTCTGCTACTTTATCCTTTTTGCAAAGCCCCTTTTTTTTTTGGTCAATCAAATAAAAGAATGAAGTTTACAAGAATCAATGCAATTACAGACTACTTTAACAGAAAAACAAATATCAAAAGAAAGCACCCTACAGTAAAGTAAAACAAATGAGCCAAAATCATCCTACTCCCTCACGTGCTTCCTTTTCACACATTCTTTCCAAAACCTCAGTAGGCCAACACATCCAACCAGGAGAAAGCATATCCCTGTTTTTCTGTTTCGCAACCCAATGTGCAATTTTATTGCTTTTTCTACTCACATATTGTATTTCAATCTTAGGAATCAAACGTATATATTCCCAAATATCCCTTTGGATAGCCTCAATCTCCCTCAAAAAGCAATTATTACCATTATTCAAAGCATCAACACATGCTTTTGAGTCTGACTCCACTATTAGTGAAGGGTACCCTGCAGCTATGGCTTTACGACATGTCTGTCTAATGGCACATGCTTCCACTATTAAGGCTGAGTTTGCAGCAAGCTTACTTGCACTTCCCAGTATTAAGATTCCTTCACTGTCTCTAAAGACTACTCCAAAGGCCCCTCTTTTCTGAACCTGCAACCAAGCCACATCACAATTAACTTTTACCCAACCCTTTGGTGAAGCTTTCTATACATCTACTTTACTCTCTTTCTTCTTACCATTATCATGCTCATTCATAACACAGCCCCTTCATTCCTCAACAGAAATGATAGCTAGGCTTATCACTCCTCTGGGCAAAATAAGGCTTAAAATTTCATTTTCAAATGGTCAAAATATCCGAAATATTTTTGTTTTCAAGGAGACCAAAACGAATCAGTGATGAAATCGAAATTCTAATACTTCGAGATGTTTTATAATATTTCAAGGTGTTTAGTAATGTTTCAATGTATTTATACAATTATTTCAGAATGTTTCAAGATATTTCAAAATACTTTTGTATAATTTGACCAATATTTTAGAAAAATAATTCTTAAATTTTTTATTTTTCATTCGTTATATTTCCAAAACGGATCAAAACGTTTCCGAAACGGACTAAAACGTTTCCAAAACGGATCGAAACGTTTCAAAACACATCGAAACGTTTTCGCTTCCTATGTGACCGAAACAATGCACCAAAACAAAATTTTGATCCTTAATCACAAGTGTTAAAGTTATATCATTTCTTAACATCTCTTTAAAAAATCTGGAAGCATCTCTCATCTTTCCTCCAATGCAATGACCATCAATGAGCATGTTATATATTTGTGCATTTGTTGAAACCCTTCCATCTTCCATCGTTTTGAGAATTACTTCAACTTCAAGCAGCCTACCATCCTTGCATAAACAATTTATTACAGAGTCACAACTTAAAACATTTAGCTTCAACCCCTTATTCTCCATTTCCTCAAGAATCTCAAAGCACCTCTCGAACTGGTAACTTTGTCCATACCTATCAATCTGAGTGTTATAAGTTTGCACATTTGGGGCAGCTCCCATCCCCGCCATCTTCTTTATCTGATGGGACATTTCTAAGAATGGGGGTGGATCGCAGACACTTGTCTTCGGCACCGACGCACAACCTTGTCTCTGGTAATGCCACGTGTCCTCAACACGTCCTCTTCTCTGATGATGACACGTCTCCCTCAGCGATGAGGCTTCTCCCATTCTCTTGCGCAACCACGTATCCTCGATTCCAAGGGTATCTCCACCCCGAGGCAGCTGTGTGCTCTCAGCTCCAGGGGTACTTATCAGAACTCTGGTTTTGCCATGTGTCTCCGACTTCTGGAAAGATTACTGATTGACAGCTAATCAGTCTCAACTAAATTGGGAATCATGAGGGTGCTCTGCACAATTAAGTCAGAATGGCAGAACGAACAAGACACTCCACCAAAGGGAGTTAGACGCGTGGCATAAAGTGCAAGATGAGGAGTAAATAGACAAAAATACCCCTGCTGACATACGACCATCTCAGAAAAATATTTAATGAATCCTCTTGATGGGACATCTGCAATGGCTTGGGAAGTCGGGAAAGAGGAGCATTAAATGCTCCAAGACCCGAGCATTTAATACCTCTATATGGAAGAAAGAGCATTAAGTGCTCGGAAGCCCTAGCAATTAATAATGGGTCCTCCCCCACGCAACATAGAAGGCGCACTGTCCCATGACTGGACACTAGCTATTGACTAGACCATCAATAATGATGAGTCTTTGGAGGTATAAATAGCTCCAAAAAATATAATGCAAAAGTACAAAAACTCACTCCTCAAGAACACAAAATAGTGTTTTCTTCTTCTCCTTTCTCAAAGAATTTACTTAATTATCGGAGGGGATACGCTGAAAAACACTCTGACGCCCTTCTAACCTTTTTTTGTGTGTCAAGAACAACTTAAACCCTGTCGGAATCGATAGAACAGCTCCCGGAGCAATTCATCACCACTCCTTAGACCCCATTTGGCCATTCTGGATTTTCCCTTTGTCGCAAAATCGTCAATTTTTGGGACAAATGCGAGTTCACCAAGAGAGAAATCTGTATTTTCATCTATTGTGCGAAAAATACCGCGCACATTATCCATTCCTCTGCTTCAACAACATTACCCAAATCACAATATTTATTGATCACTCTGTTGTATGCAATGCAGCTCGGCTTCAACCCAAGATTTTCTATTTCTTCAATGGTCAAAATTGCCTTCCCCTTGTCACCCTCCTGGCAATATTCCTTCACCATATTAAATATCACCTCTATTGGAACAAGCCCATTTTTAATGAACTTCTTCAAAACCTCCTAAGCCTTAAAATTCTAGTTTAAACCCATATATTATCCTTACAACTGCAAGCCTAACAATAATTCCACTATTCATGAACTTCCTGTAAATCGGTTGATAATCAAAAAGCAATTCACCCATTGCTTCTTTTATTACAAGTTCTACGGAATCATCAGTACCTAGGACATTAAATTCTTCCCTTGGTTCTTTGACTTTTTTTTTTTTGTTCAATTAGAATACAAAGCTTCTTTGTTCATCTTGTGTGCATGCGTGTGTAGCTGGGTGAGCAAAAGTGCTACAAAAAATATGCAGTGCGGTTGATTATATATGTTGTAATTTTGATGGTCTTGAAGTCATATATACGAAACCAAGCTAGCTTAAGCTCCCTATAGAAGGCATACATGGAACAATACATGGAATACTTGGAGAGAGAAATAATCACCAAGAGAGAACCAAGGTACAAGAACTTCTAACCTTTGAGATCAGCTCAAACAGCCAAATCCATATCCTCCACTGTTATCCGATTCTTCCATCCTCCAGCCCCGTCAATTGCAGCAATTTTCCACACTCCAGCAGTCCCTTCATTTTCAACCACCTTAAGGATTTTTTTTTTTTACAAATTTATAACATCACGTGTTTATGTGACTTTATACAGTTCATAACCCAGGTCTAGAGCATCACACAAAAAAATACAAATTGTTGTAAGCATGTCTTTAGTGGACTCATGCCAACATCACAAAATCTAAGATAAACTCAATTACAATGCAATGCGTGACCGGGTTTCACATGCACACAAATTGACCTTGTCCTAAAAGCTAAGAGTTGACCATACTCGTTTCATGATAAGTAGCAGAAATAATTTTCATGATCCAAGCAAGTTATGGTGCTCCATCCTTTTCAACATGATGATCCTTAACATTTGCCAATCACCACATAAGCAAGATTTGAGCTGTCATCCTCATTCTAATCCTCATCCACTCCAACAACATTAGGACATGTATGTGCACCATGCACAAATAGGAAAACGCAAATAAGGAAACACTTGATAGCATAGTGTATCTAATGAGCCTTTTCTTCATATAAGACAATATATACACGGGTGATAAGGAGGCCTCACCCTTTTTGCAGTTATGAAAACAAAGAATCATAAGCTAGAAAGGATATACAAATCATAACTATGATACAGGTCTTGCCAATTATTACCTATGACTGTCTCTGGCAAAAAATTATGATTCTGACAGCTGGACTGAGTATATTGTCTTTCCATTACATTTTGGCAACAGTAGCAAGATCCTCACTTATGCTCCAATCCCCAAGTCCTTTAACACTCATTTCAGAGCAGATAATCGTGGCCTCTTCCAACTTTCCTTCCTCTCTAAGGCCAGAGGTAAGCTCATTACAAATACTGTAACTAGGAAGAAAACCATTCTCAAACATTTGTCTGTACCAAACATATGCCCCACAAAAATCCTTAAGCTTGCAATATCCCTTGATCAATACACTATAAGTATCCCCCTTAGGAACCACTCCTCTAGCCTTCATATCATCGACAAGATTCTTTGCTTCCTGGAACTTCCCCTCCTTAAAGCACCCCATAATCAAGCCATTATAAGTCATTTTGTCAGGGTGAATCCCCTGATTCAACATCTCATGGTGCAAGACAAATGCTTTTTTGACATCTCCATGCTCTGCATAACAACAAATGAGTTCATTGTACACAACTCGATCGGGAGTAAGGTTCATCTGCAACATTTCTTGAAATATTTTCTCTAAAAGCACAAACCCATCCTTGCAGCATTGACTAATTAAAGGATGAAATGTGTTTAAGGTAGGCTTAATGCCTAACCTTTTCAAGTCATCATATAACTCCAAACACTTCTGGGTGTTTCCTGTATTAGAATACCCTGAGATTAGGGTATTGTATGTGATCACATCTGGCTTTAAACCTTTACTTGTAATCTGAAGAGCCATTTCTTCAGCTTCTGTTACTTTACCCTTTTTGCAAAGCCCGTTAACTAGTGAATTATATGTCACAAGTGTTGGAATTATATCATTTCTTAACATCTCTTCAAAAAATCTGGTGGCATCTTTCATGTTTCCTCCAGTGCAATGACCATCAATGAGCATGTTATATATTTGTGCATTCACTGAAACCCCTCTATCTTCCATACTTCTGAGAAGTACTTCAGCTTCAAGCAGCCTACCATCCTTGCATAAACAATTTATCAGAGAGCCATAGCTTACAACATTGGGCCTCAACCCATTATTCTCTATTTCCTCAAGAATCTCAAAGCACCTCCCAAACTGGCATCTCTGTCCATAGCTATTAATTAGAGTGTTATAAGTCTGCACATTGGGGGCTGCTCCCTTTTCTGCCATCTTCTTTACCCATTCCTCTGCCTCAACAACATTACCCAATTCACAGTACTTATTTATCACTGTATTGAATGTAATGCAGCTCGGCTTCACCCCAAGATTTTTCATTTCTTCAATGGTTGAAATTGCCTTCCCCATGTTACCCAACCAGCAATACCCATTCACAACAGTATTAAATATCACCTCTGTTGGAGCAAGCCCATTTTCCATCAACTTCTTCAAAACCTCCTCAACCTTATCCATCTTCCCTTCCTTGCACAAAACATTCAACAAAATACTACAAGTATACTCATTAATTGTCACCCCTTTATTAACTGCCTCTTCATACAATGCCAACATACCCTCCCCATTACCACATCTCAAATGCCCATCAAAAAGTATACTGTACGTAAACCCATCAGGAAGAAACCCATAAGCCTCCATCTCCTTCAACATTTTATTAGCTTCCTCCATCCTTTTCGCCCGGCATAGCCCACTAAGCAACGAATTAAAGGTAACCAAATTTGGCTCCACATTGCCCATTTTCATACACTCTATCACGCTAAATGCCTCTTCCAAATTCCCAACTTTGCAATACCCATCAATTAGGGTATTATAGGTAACCCGATTAGCAAACACTTTTCTTTCAATCATTTCATCAAACAGCTTTCTTGCATCCTGGATTCTCTTCTCTTTGCACAATCCACTTATCAACACGTTGTAAACGAATCCATTAGGCCACAGTCCACATTTTCTCATACAATTCATCAAATCCAAACCCCTTCTCAAATCCCCCAACTTCACTGCCGACTGTATAGCTTTGCCGTAGCTGAACTTATCAACCCGAATACCAGAATCGACAGCATTCGAAAATAATTCAAGGGTTTTACTATATTGCCTTGTAGATACCAAAGATTCCAGAAAAAGATTGAAAGCAGAGAGACTAGGAAATTTACCATCTTTTCTGATAAGCATGTAGACCTCTTCGGCTTCATTGGGGAGCTTTGAGTCAGCACAGACAGATAAGAATAGGCTTGTGAAAGTGGGTTTAGTGGAAGGTGAAGAGAGAGAATAGAGACTGTAGAGTTCAGAGGATGAAGAGAATGGTGATTTGGAAAGAATGAGGGATTTGATGAGTCTTTGAGCAGTCTCGGATCGACCCTGCTGGATAAGTACTCGGAGTTTCCGGACTTGTTCTTGGCGTTCTTGGTCTTCAGGGTTCGTGGGTTCGTTTTCGGAGCCAAGCCTGGGAGCTAAAGATTGACAACTCCTCTTGCAGATTGGAACAGAGGAGGTGCTTTGAGACTTACAGAGGGCAGCAGGAAGAAGATGGAAGCTTTTCCCCATTTTAGTAGGAGGGGTTTCGTTCACGGAGCTAAGCTTTTGCAGTGGTCTTTCGCTCGGTCTTTCTCAATTTGAAGTCTTCGCTGACACTGAGAAATTACTTAATTACCTAAATTCCCTCATATTTGATATATTACGCTTAGCCCACTTAAAATTTATACACGTACAACATATATTATATAACCCTTATCGCTAGTACCTTTTAAAGTAGTTGTTAAAAATTCACGAAACAAAACATATATTTGTTTGTTATAAAGTTAAAAATTTTGTAATAATGAGTGCTTTCTATTTTTATTTGTTATCAATTTACTAAGACCATCTCAAAAGGAGAATTAAACCCTTACCCTTGAGTAAAAAAATTAATTTGATACAAAACACTTTAATGAAAAAACTCCAATTTAAAAGACTATAAATTCAAATCTAAATGAGGATAAATCTAAATTTAAAAAAAGATATAATATGATTATTAAATCTTTAAAAGAAAATGAAATCTAACTATCGGTAATTTGAATAAATATTTGAATCTGTCTTAATTTGGATAAAAATTTAAGTATCTATTTATTTGGTATGAGTTTGATTGGAAAAGGTTTTTAAGGGTTATTACTCAAATTTAAATTTGAATTTAGAAAATGGTAAGAGTTAGAGATGCCATAATAAACAATGGAACGAGGAAAACAAAAAAAAGAGGGATGAAGCATAACAGATATTTCAAAAAAATGAGTACAAATATTTCAAAAAAAAAAAAAAACCTCTAATGTACAAGAACACTAATTAGAACAAATATTTAGAAAAAAAAATCCTGATGTACCAGAACTCTTGTCTTGCTACACCATATATTTGGATTAACACTAATAATCAAAGACACATTCAATTTGTTTTAACAATGCCCTAATACTATGTTCTAAGAACAACTCCAAGAGGAGTGGCATCAGGGGTGACAACCCCATAACTGTTAAAATGTCACCCCAAATTCAAAAATTTGGATTCCAACGGAATGATATCAGGAGTTGAAAAATGACACCAGTGGTCTTAAGGTGGCAATTTTGGCAACTCTGGAGAGAGAAAGGGAAATGTTACAAAGATTTTTCAAAATCTACTGTTCAATTTCAACGGTTCTATTCAACAAAAAATTTCTATAAATATAGAGATTTAAAAAAAAAAAAACTTACCAAAGCTTACCATGAAAATCATTGTAAGCTCACTGCTTCTGATTGAAATCGTTGTGACTCTATGGATATGTGGGTCGTACACCGATTAGTGTTTGTGGTTGATTTCGTGAAGTGGCCATTAGGGTGTGGCTGGACAGAGAGGGGGAGGATTGGGGCGATTAGGGGGTGGCTGTGCATGGCTTCTGCCAACAAAGAGAAGGAGGAAACATGGGAGGGAGAGAAATACAGAGAGAGAAGAATGGGGAGGGAAGATCTGGGGAGTGAGAAGCGTAATTTGGAAACAGAAGGAGAAGTGTAATTTATAATTCATAAATTTGTTTTAATTTATAGAAGAGGGGATGAGAGATTTAATTTATAATTTTTTTAAATTAAGGGTGATTTTATTTATTTTTTAATTGATTATTTTATGCTCATTCTTTAAATTGATTATAATTTTTTTTTGTAGATGGATTCGTAATTTGACGGTTTTTTCATTGATTTGCTTATGAACGACACCGATTTATATGATGATGCTATGCAGACTAATCCCACAGTAATGGTTCTAGTACAAAATGAAGCCACTCCAAGAGTGAGAAAATCACAAAGAACTTCTTTTTAGAGTAAGATAAATTAATTGTGTTTGTGTGGCTTAACACGAGTAAAAATGTAAATATTGAGAATCAACAACAAAGTGGTGCTTTTTGGTATAGAATATTAAAATACTTAGAACTTCATGGAAGCAATGAAAAAACGAGCGTTCACAAGCTTCTAAAAAAAGCTGTTAGACTGATATAAATGTAAAATGCGATAAATTTGTCAATTTTTATAGTCAAATTGAAAAACTGCGACAAAGTGAATACACCGAGCGATATAATGTAATAATTGAGTTTTTTTAGATAAACACTACTATGATTTGATATTTGAACTATTGACTGAATGATTTTACATGTTTTTCAAGTTGATAATGTAAAAGAAATGTTTGCTAAGATCATAGAAAGGTCATTTCAATACGAGCATTGTTGAAATATATTGAAAATAGAGCGGAAATGAACTGATAATCTTACCAGCAATAAAAGAGCAAAAATTTATTCAACTGGTAGTCCTGTTGAATCAAATCATGTTGAATTTGACTATTTAACTCCATATTTAGGGGATGACATTGGACCCTCGTCCACTCTCAATCTCGATAGGCCATTGGATAGAAAAGGCTTCGAAGAAACAACTTAAAACAAAAAAAAAAAAACAAATCGATGTTGAAGCACCATTAGATCATTACCACTGTAATCAAAGAATGAAAGTGGAATAACAAAAAGTTGAGTGACACGACAAAATTTATGTTCAACAGGAGATAGCATTGGAGCAATATCGTTAACAGTTAGAAATTGAAGAAAGACAGGTGTAAGAAATTGAAAGGCAAAATAAAATATAAAATAAAATAAAAATTATGGAAACTGACACTACTAACATGGACCCAATTTCTACAACATATTGGAATAACCTCAAAATAGAGATTATGAAAAAGCGGAGTTTTAATTTTTAGTCCTTATATATTATATTGCTATTATTTTTAAATTTTTAGTCATTATTTATTATGTTGCTATTATTTATGAAAAACTATGTATTAAATTTGATTGCTATGAAAGTACTTGTGCAATTGAAAATACAACTTGAAATTGAAATTGGAATTGAAAATACAATTTGAAATTAAAATTGAGAAAATTATTCTTCTTCATGTCATTCTCACAAATGCTCAATAAGATCTGACTACAGTTGAAAATTAGTTGCACTGTCCTTGATTTGACAATGAGTTTGCATGAAGTCTTCCAATTCTTGTGTATTCACATACAACATTTCTATAGGTGGATTTGCATTACTTCCATCAAAGTTATTGTTACCAATATCTTATTCATCCTCAATGGTCATATTATGCATTATTATGCACATTTTTACAATATCTACAAGTGTTTCTTCATTCTAAAAGTGTGATGGTCCACGCATGATTGCCAAATAGACTTGAAGTACCCCAAATGCCCGTTCTACATCTTTTCTTGCCGACTTTTGTGCTTTAGCAAAATATTTTTTTCTTCAAACCTTGTGGACAGTGAATTGTTTTTACAAATTTGATTAATTTGGATAAATACTATTAACTAGATAATATTCTATTGTATATTCATGACCATTAATTGCATAGTTTATTGGAGGAACATGACCATTTGCTAATAATACAAAAACAGGGGACCTATTTAGAACATTTATGTCATTCAGCGAACTAGAACGCCCAAAGAATGTATGTCATATCCAAAGATCTTAAGAAGCCACAACTTCCAAAATGATTGTTGGTTCGTGACAATGACTAGTATACATACCTTGTCATGCGATCGGACAATTTTTTCACTTCCAATGCATGCAATCAATACTCTCTAACATGTCGAAAAAGCCACGTTGTTCTACCATCTGTAACAATCGAGCAATATCGCTATTATTTGGTGACCTCAGGTAATGGTTGCTGAACACTGCAATAACAATTTTCACAAACCTTTTCAGACTCTGTATGTCAATGTTGTCTCCAATTTTTATGTATTCATCCACAGAATGTGCCGATGTTATGTAAGCAAGAATTCTATAAGCAACTGTTATCTTCTGACAGGATGACAAATAGAGAACTCCAACGGCATTTGTTGTTTGGACGAAATATGAATCTTGTTATTCAACCTCATTTACAATTCAGAGAAAAAGAGGACGATTCATTTGAAAAAAACCTTCATATGCACAAGGGGTAAAAAAATAGTCATGATAGAGTCTTTCGTGACCTTGAACTCTACCACAATTAACTGTTCTTTGGCCTAGAACGGAACCACGATGCCTTTTTATCCATCCCTAATTAGACCATTTTGACCTTCTGGTTACAACATACAACATATCCAATTCATCATTATCTTCTTCCTTAATATTGAAGATCTCTCACAAAAATATTAGAATAACGATTCATATAAATTGATAAATAAAAATATGAAAGGATAAATAGTCAAAGGAAAATGAGATATTGAATTTATAGAGAGAATGTAATATAGATGGATAAAAACATAAAAAAAATGATCATATTTATAGACGAATTATACTTTTTAAAAATTTTATTTTGGCGGTTAAATTTTAAAATTTGAATTTCAGAAAAATTTGAATTTCAAAATTTGAATTTAAAATTTGAAAATTGAAATTTTTACTATAAAAATATATCTGTTAAATTGTGATCGTTATGAAAATTATACCTGTTAAAATATAACCGTTAAGTTTAATTATATTTTTAATAAAAAATGTTTAAATGACACCTCATTTTGGTATCTGTCATTGGAACAGATTTATAATTCAAGAATGCCAAAACACTGTTCAAAGTTACAAATGAGTGATTTAACACCTCAAAATAGCAACTCTTTTGGAGTTGCTCTAACAAAGCCACAAATAATAATGCCCTATTCAGTATGTTCTAACAAAGCCGCAAATAACAAAAAACATACTATTAAAATTATGAATTATTTTATTAAAATATAAAAAAAAATGAATGTTTAACTGAGATTGTCGAATTTTTAACAGCTACCTTAACGAAGACTAGTGATCAAATTACGTGTTACACATGCACAAATCTCAGGGGTGTAGGTGTGATATATTAAATGTGAAAGAATTTAGGTGATTAAGTAACAAACTTTAAATAGTTGAGCGTAATTTACACTTTAATCTTTTGCAAAAAGTTAGGAGGCCCACCCTCAAATGCTGGTTTTTTTTTCTCAACGGTTAGGGTGTTAGGGTCAAGGTGCACCTCGGTTGATTGTAAGCGCACCTCAATTAATATTTTTTTTGATTTGATTAAAGATAGACCATTCACATTGAAATTAAAATAAATCCTTTATGGCTTGACCCCAAAAGATTAACAAGATTTAAATTTAGAACGTCTAAATTTACTTTTGGGGTTCAAACATTGGTCTTCAGCTCGGTATTATTACACTTTGGGATCTAAAGTAATCATCTTACATGATCAAATATAATCCTCAAATTTGTTGATCAAATCCCATGATGCTTTTGGATTAGTAGGGAATTCACTAATCTAATGGTAATAGTAGATTTAATTAATAAATTTTGTCTAAGTAGAATTGCTCAATATTCAGTTTTTCCATAAGTTAAATCTATTTGAGCATCCCCTTATGTCGTCTTCTTTGGGATTTTTATTGTGTGAGCTTTCGGGCTTATGTGATCTTCTGTTTCGTATAAGAAAAAAAAATGCAGCTTCCAGTGGTAGGCTTCTTGTCACTCCTGACATTGGAACGATCTTTGTACACTATTTCATTAGGAGCCAAATGGGCTAGTCTGAATATATTAGGCTATTGCTCGTCGGATATGGGAAGAAAATCTCACACTAGAAAGATAAATATCAATAGTCTTTTCACCATTAGAACAAAGAGTATGAGAAATCATTTTTTTTCTTCCTTCAAAGCCAATTCCATTAGGTCTCTAATGCTTGTGGGTCCTCAAATGAAGTCCTCCACAACTTTATCTAAGAGTTAGACTCGTGTTCGAGACTCTCGTTAATGAAAAATCTGAAGAGGAGGTATGCAGTCTTACTCTACGTCAAGAGAGACTGTTTACTCCAAAACTTACCTATTCTTGCCAATTTGACCAACTTGAGAAGCCTCTGGTTTGAGAAGACATCAGTACCTCAATCATAGTCAAATGGGTCCTAGTACTTTTTTTTTTTGGGTCCTAGGACTTAATTAAGTCAACTATCATCCAAGATCTTCAAATAAGGTCTCCAGATTGATGCAAATAGGGTTATTGTCCATACAAACAGTTGGTTATATTGCAATCTTTATGTTCGTCTTGTCCCTCAGCTTGAGCATAATATCCATGAACGTTTTGAACACAATGTACAGGAGTCAAAAGTCATCGAATTGTTAAAAAAAAAACAGAAATTAGACAGCTTTCAATTGTAGGCAAACAAAATGACAGCATGAAACAAAGGGGGCTGTCAAAATGTGATAATTGGTAGGCCAGCAGGTTGTTACCAAAAGGAAAAGGGCTAAAATATCTCTGCTATCCTCTCATTCCCCTAAAGTTGCTATAAGCTTGTTTCACATCCCAGTATCATATTGCTATCACCTGTTGCTTCAACATAAGTCATCTAATACTCAAACTAAGGCCAGAGATAACTGGCTTAAGCTTCAGAGAGTCTTAAACCAGTGTGGCTCAAGGAGTCTTGAACCAGCACCACAACGATGGCTTCTTCGATAGCATTGGTTGTGTTTATTTTGCACGAGAATGCATCTGTGGTGGTTTGATCCCCAAACTTCTGCATCGCTATTGGTGAAGTAAATAAGTGACTTTTTATCCAGTGCACAAGGATGAGACTTGGGATAGTCAGTCTGTCTCCCATTAGTTTGTTCCTCTCAAACAAATACCAACCAAATCGAATAGAGCAGCCAAAAGGAACAAACATCAGCATAGTGTGAAAACTTGTTGTAAGGTTATTGTAAAAAATCTCTCATCAATTTATTCATCAAACAAACCCAATCAAATACAAAGGAGGGAAAAATTGCTACAAATATCTCACAATCACAATCGCTACATTTCAAAGATGTTCACTCTATCTACTTGTAATGAAAAACACAGATTATGCCTTTGCTTCCTCGGTTGTTTCTTCTTGTTGTCTTCTTTGTATGGTGCATTCAGATACCTACTTTTTGAATATACACATGAACTTATCTGTTTGAGGGACAGACTTGAACTGTGTCTTTACTTGAAAGAATACCCTGCTTGGTTCTTTTTACAAGGGAAAACTGCAAAAAGTTTAAAAAAAAAATGAAAGGATAAAAGACAAGAAGATGTTGGTGAAGAGACGCCACTTCAATGTGGTGCTGAGGAAGGCACAAGCATAGGGCGAGAGATACCAAAACGACTATACTTGAGAGTCACCTCAGAAGTTCCTCTAAGAGTTGGAAACAAAGGTGCCAATATAACCAACCCCCGCGATGAAGAAAGCAATTGCTTGGACAAAGAGGTACACGAAGTAGTGGTTTTTCCCAAAGGCAACGTCGTAGCAGCCACAGAAAAAGAGGTAGGCACCGGTGGCAAGCTCCAACAAGTGAAGCCTGTAGACATCCGAGCAATAATAAGACACTTAAATCAGATATCATAGATCATACAAGGACATTATCTATTCATGCCATAGGATAAGTTGCAAAATCATTCTAGGATATGGGAGAAGGATAGCTGCTTCCAATAGAAATTTATACCTTTCTCCAATCCTAAATCGAGGTCTCTTAAATGCTTTGAACGCTGATTTTAACTTGAGAGCATCCCCGAGTTTTTCAGTGACAACCCATTCGTTCACCCTCCCTGCCTCCAGAAGACCAATGAAGGTAGCCTTTGTCCGGTGTAGTGACATGACATTCTCAAAAAGAATCCAGAAAACCAACAAGTGAAGTGACCTACAGGATGAAAATTAAAAGCATAAAACATAGAACCTCAGGAATATTTTAGCACAACTTAACCTGTGCTCTTATTGTAAGACAAACAAAATCGCATTAGCCATTCACAGTTTGTGTTTTGCTCAATACAACTGAATGAAGAAATGAAAGGGATTTAACATTGAGAAAAAAGGAAACCTTGGAGTTCCAATTGCATTAAGTATGGTAATGATGGAAGGAATGTAAACTGCTCCCCATCTCGGAACCTCAACTTCGGGTACCAACACTGTTGCAGGCAATACCACGCAGTAAAACGCGAAAGTGACAATATGGGCTACAATCTTTCTAACCAAGAAGAAGCTGTAGATTACATGAACCTTCTTCCACAAAGACACTTTCTGCAATCACATAATGATACATTTTGAGACTATGAGGACTTGTTTTCATAATTAGCTGTCGAATTCTCAAGCAGAGAACTAAAATTCAAAGAGAGGAAAAGTGATTGGGGGCAACTGACCTTATTTCTTATGATCTCCATTACCATTTTCCTGAAAAGATTGGCAGGACCACAAGACCAACGGTGCTGTTGGTAGCGGTAGGCCTTGAATGTACTTGGCAGTTCATTTTTGACCTACATTTGAAAGAAAAGCATATAAGAATCTAAAGTTTGCATAGAAACTTTTGGCAAATCCAGCAAAGTTGAGCAACTTCCATTTTTCTCTTTCGTCTATGTGGACTATGTTCTCTAGTCCCTGTGTAGGTAGCTTCATTGATCACATAGCTTCAAAATCTAATATTTCAATCCAACGGATCAACCTCAACTGGTATATAAAATGAGGCCTCGATGGTGATGATGGATTTTCAGTCATCTATGAGCTCGATGGGCACAAGTAATACTAAGACAACAGTGCTGAATTTGCATTTCCTTTTTAAAAAATTATATGGTGCGTTTGATTATATATTGTCATTGAAGTGGACATGCATTGAAATATAATCTAACCAAGTTAGCTCCTTGTACAATGGACATATGGGATATAAGTCATTGAATACTTGTAGCAGAGAGAAATCATCACCTGGAGAGAACCAAGGTACAAGAACTTCCAACCTTTGAGACTAGCTCGGACAGCCAAATCCATATCTTCCACTGTAGTCCGATCCTTCCATCCTCCAGCCTCGTCGATCGCAGCCATTCTCCACACTCCAGCAGTCCCTTTATTTTCACCAAAATAAGGGTTTTTTGTTTTGTACAAATTTATAAAAATCACATGTTCATGGGAAACCCAAGTCTAGAGTATCACACAAAAAACCATACAAACTGAGTGGATGCTACATAATCACATCCAAGAAGGACATGCAAATGCATAGTTTTATTTTTTTGGGAATCGCCAACATAAAAAAATCTCGGATAAACACAATTACTCACTACTTAGTAACCAAATGTGACGTTAGTTAAACCCGAATTTTATACAAAAAAAAAAAAAAAACAGGAGATTCATTGCCTTCATTGTATTGTTCATTGAAAGGTAATTAATTACCATTGAAGCCAAAAAAGGCATAAGTGGATGAACCCACTTCTTGCTCCACAGTGAAATGGTAGTCCAGTGACATTTCTTGCATTCTTGTCATCAAGCACTCGTCTGCGTTCACTGCAAAACCAATCACACGCCACGTCACCATTTTTGCCACCACACATACACACATGGGTATTAATATATGATATCCAAAAATAATTTGTTTGTTCATACTTCATAACGCAAAACATTTTTTGAATTGCATGTCATGTCACCATCATGGGTATTTCTCGGTTCGGATACTATATCGAAAATAATTTGTAGGTTTATAAAAAAATATTGTTAGAATGAACTATTTATTTTTGGTCGAGATACCCTTTAATATTTTTCTCTCAATTTTATTTTTGACTTTTTGCATTTTGTACCGTGAAAAATTTTATAATTTTTAATTTTTCACCCTCAAAAATTAAATTTTTATATTGTATTCTTAATGTATCAATAGAATTGTAACTTAGTTCTTCTGTTAATTTCTGTTATTTTTTCTATTAAAAATTAATCTATTGATATTGAAGAAAAAATTAAAGGAAACCTACGAGATATGGTACAAAAATTATTTTGAGGAGAAATAAAAGGAAATAATAAACGGTATTAATACGAGCAAAAAAAAAAGGGTATTAATAAAAGGAAATACAAAATGCATTTAATACAGAAATCAGGAAAATAAATATGGGTGTCGGTTCATAGATGAAGAGTAGGTCCACCACTCCCTATAGCACATGCTCCTGCTTGTGCTAGAATCAGAAGTAGTCCCACCAAAATACAGATATACCCCTATTCATTTATTAAACTTCCAACCATGTCCCCTTCGAAAATGAAAAGATTTTGTGGACAGATAGACCCGTCCCCCAAAATCTATTGCTGCCTCACTGGACACAATTCAAAAGGAACATCATGACAGCTTTTGCAGCAAAAACAAAAGTTAGAGGGGGCACAAACGTCCATCCATTAATGATGAAGTGCCCATCACGAAACGAACAACTTAGGTCTGAATGACCTTTTTATCTTTTACTATTTCCAAGTTCACTACCACAACTTCAATTTTTTTTTATTTAAGAGGTAGAGATATTGGAATCTATTTATCTACACTTCAATTATTTTTCTATTTTTTGATTTGATTAAAAGTAGATTACTTATATCGAAATTAAGATATTCACTAAAACGTACAAGTCAATTTTTTTTTTTTTCGTATAAAGTAGCAAAAAAAAAAATGACTGAAATAACAATTCGAAATGTTGGTGAATTTAAAGGTGGGACCCATTTCTTGATCCTCAAGATAACCCACACCAAGTGTCAAAACAACAAAAAGGAAGAAAAAAGAATGGCCTGCCAAACTTGGGGCTATGCATTGATGGTGAGATGCACATTTGTGTGTATATATAGTCACCGACAGTTTTTAAGTGAAAGGCTTAGAGATAATAAATATATTTAACTTAAACCAACGTATAATGCATGATCGAAATAAATGAATAGTAAGAACGTATTCGTAGACTCAGACCTTAAGTAATTGAGATATAAAGTTTGATTTGATTTGACAAAGGGATGATAAAACTTGGTGATTGAAAAAAAGTTGAAAAATCTACATTAAGGCAGGCTAATATGTAAGTAGGAGAGATGATGGATCGATGTGCATAAGTTATTAGATAGAAAAAAATTGAATGTGACACATGGACAAGTGATTACATAACGGTAATCAAATAATTAAACATTTTCAAATCAAACATGAATCTAGTGAGACTTCAAACTTATATGGAATGTGCAATGATTTAAAAAATGAAAGGTGGCGTCCAAAATACCAATTATTTAAACCATGCGGGCAAGTGATCCGGCCAAATCTAATTCTATGGCTGGATGTGTTTTTTTTTTTGTTGATCTTCTTAATCATAATTGAAATTCCTCGGACGTGTGATATCTATAACCTTTGTTATTAAAAATTATTGTCCGGCTATTGAAGGTTAACGGTTGTGCCGTTAGATTTTAAGATCGCGGGTTTAAATATTCGTAAAAGAAAAATATAAAAGGAAATTACCGAATTTCCAACGAGCTTGAACAAGGGCGATCTGGGGGTTGTGGACGAGAAAAGGGATGGTGCGCCATAGGAAGTCAGGTTCAGGTTGAAAGTCCGCATCCAAAATGGCCACATAGTCGCATTGTTTCACATAGTTATGCTTCAACCCTTCTTTTAAAGCCCCTGCTTTGTAGCCATTCCTGTTGTCTCTGATTTCGTACTTTATGTTTATCCCTTTGCTTGCCCACCTCTGGCACTCCAATTCCACCAGGTCCTACCCATTTCAATCCACCAAACAACCAAATCAAGATCAGTAATCAACTACAAAACCCAAATCAAATCAATGGTTTTGGCAAATGGGTGAATGGGTACGTTAAAAATTGAGAAAAAACTAAGGATAAATATATGTTCTCCAGGTGCTCGATATAATGACTTTTTGATCTGTGCTTACCTTGATTATGGGGTCTGTTGAATCATCAAGAACTTGAATTATTATGCGATCGGAAGGCCATGAAAGGCCACATGCAGCTCCAATTGAGAGTTGATATACCTTGAAAATTGTAAACAACCAAACATGTTTTAGGTACCATAAAACAATTAAAAAATATAAAAAAACAAACCATGAAAAAAAGGATATTATGATTAAACAGAGAAATAAGTGTTGTTGAAAAGGCAGTGCAGGATTGTACAGAGAGAGAGAGAGAGATAAGGGACCTCTTTTTCGTTGTACATTGGGATTTGGACAAGAACCACCGGATAAGCTGAATTACCCAACTCAACATCATCTTTAATAGGCTCCCATGTGTAACGCTTGTCTGGTTTTTGACCAAAGAGCTTCACAAGGGTGATGACAATGCCCATATATACCCTCTCAATGAACAACATCAAAGACATTATCAAACAGAAAGCCACCATAATTCGAAGAAGCGGGACGATCAATGGCGCTTTGATCTGACCCCAAACCAGAGCAAGCTGCTCTGTAATGTCATCTCTAGCACCCGCAAATGTATCAGGAAGAAGAGTTGTTGATGAAAGACGATCCATTTATATAACTTTTGCTCTGTTTTTTTGAGGTTGAAAAACAGAGTATAGGGAAAATACAATGAAAACAGAGGAAAACAGAACAAAACAGAGTTTGTTAAAACCCAATAGATCTATATGACTATACGTATTTATGAAAGGCTTTGCTTTGAGAAAAGAGGAAGAATATTTCTTTTCTCTGTGGTTTTGCTTCTGGGTCACGCAAAAACAATGGTGGTAGAGCTGAAATGTCAGAGACACTAATTCATAACCCTACAAGATTGATGATAGACAGCCCACAAAATGCTCCTTTTTTCTCTTTTTTCTTCGCCAAAAAGCGTAGTAAAAACCTAAGCTTTTCTGCTTCTGTTATCAAAAGAAAACAGAAGCAGAAAGATACACAAATGTAGTCAGAAACGAAGAAACAGAGGAAGAGAAATGGCGAATAGTGAGAAACAGAGGAAGAGAAATGGTGACAATAGGAAGGAATGTAGAGAGGAATATGGAGAGAGAAAGAGAGATTGTCTGTGTTATATAAGCTCTCTATTTTGGCTTCTGGTTTGTGTTGTTTTGTTCCCTTTCTCTCTCCTCTGTTTTATTGCTCTTCTAAGCCTCCCAACCTCACAAAACTATCGCAATTACAAGTGTACGGCGTACATATAAACAAGTTAAAACCAGGCAAAAATGTGTCATCTACCGCCGGCGCCAACCGTCCGGTACCGACAACGTTTCCATGGCTGTGGGTCCCACTAAAAGTAGTATAAATATAAATACAAAATACGAGATACAAATTCAAAAAATACGATAATATTTTAACATTTAAAAATAGAATACAAACAGGGCTGAAATGTCCGTCTTACAATTTTTTTTCCCATTTTTGGCACCTCTTTGTATAAGGGGTGTGTGTGTATACAGAGAAGATTAGAGGCCAATCTACTCTTTAACTACGCAAGGTTTGGTAGGTTATCAACTGTAAACTCAACGGTCCTTAACGTTAATTTTTTTTTGAAATTATTCAAAAAATAGAAATTATTTTATACGGTTTAGAATTAAAGACAAAAAATAAATGAAAAGGACAAGCATGTGAAGCTTTACAAAAACATGGGTTAATTGACCAAACTACCCTCGGGGAGGTCCTAATCTATGTTGGCAGCTCAAAATCTCAGATACCATCTTGTGTGGAATACATTTTAATTTTAAGTGCAACAATCTTTGTCCTCGATAGATCATTATGAAAAAATTATTCATATAATACGTGTGTTATTTGAATTTATAACGGGTAGTTTACCATAAATAAAAAAATTATTCATACAATACATGTGTTATTTGAATTTATAACGGGTAGTTTACCATAAATAAAAATTTAATAAACGTATATTCGACAAAATTAACATTCTAATAAATTAGCACGATTAGATTAGTGAAGTTTTATTACGTAACTCTGTCTTTGCCTATATTAGAGAGTGGAAAACTCTTGCCATTTTAGAAAGTGTTAATTATATACTAAAAATCGTGGCCCACATTATGATAAATATATATTCATTATTAATAAAATTCTCAAATTTTCATATATTATTATTTATAGGTATAGTGAGAGAGAGAGAGTACAAGAAGGAAACAAAATAAAGATGGGTAGTTAATTGTATGTTTTTGCATGGTAGAAATAAAAGTAATTGAGTAGTTGAAGAATAGATAAGGTTGTAGTTAGTGCACAAGACACGCGTTTTAGTTTATGTGTGCCTATTTTGAAAAAGTTTGATGAATTGAAATTTTGAAAAACTATTTCTATAAATAATAAAAACAACTACTTGTATATCGGGTCTCATCCTCTAAAGGCCGGCCCAATCTATAGGCCATTAAAGTGGGCCCTCAAAATAAAATTTTATACACAATCTAGATGTTGGAATATAATTTAAATACTCAATACATTTTAACAATTGAATTAATAGGGGGTGCTAATTTTAAATAAAATACATTATTTATCCAATGTATTTAGCTTTCAAATCAAGTACAAGTAATATTATCGTAAAATTTTTAGAATTTCTTTCAAAAAAAATTAGGGCCTTAGAGCTCAACCTAATTTTCTTATTTCACCCGAAAGTTATATTATATGTATTATCGTTTTGCAGTCTTATTATTAAAATTAATTATTTATTGTATAATAAGTACGAATAATGATTTTATATTTTTATAACTTAAATTTAAAGCTATTTTTTGATCAATTTGTTTATAATGAATAGAATAATTATAAAATAGAATAAGCAGAAATAATATAATATTTGAAACTAATCAATCATAGTTGTCTTACTAGTTAAACTAATTTTCAATTATGTTTTTCTTTATTTTTAACAAATAGCATGTATAATTTGTATTTCATCTACGAATTTGACCACAGTTAACATAATTTTTATTTGCAAAATTTAAGTTTTAATTAGTATGTTGTATCTCAAAAAAAAAAAAGACAAAACAAATAATTTTGAATAAATATATGTTAATATTTTGATAACTATTTAATACTAATATTATTATTGAATAAATGTTACTAGGACTCCACATAACATTTTTACCTAGGACTCCTAGCTGGGTTGGGCTACCCCTGATCCTCTCTCGTTGATTAAACCAAATTATTAGCCATTTAACATCGTGCACAAACATGATACATATGGAAAATTGTAATAATGTGTAAATAGATGGGGTAATGAAGAAGCATTATTAATAAATGGGGCAATGTGCTCCATGGAGTGTCTTGCTGCATCACCTTATACATACTTAAATTAAGAGATTCTGTTCTATCCTTTATTTAATGGGGTTCTTATAGTGGTTATTACATAAACAATCAAGGAAAAACTTATGACATTTAAGTTGAATAGTTTATGTTACCGTACCGAAATTTATGATATGATTAGATTAATCAATTATGTCTAGTTATGATCGATCCGAAAAACTTGAATCCATCACAAGTTAGTTCCTGAGTTTTTCAAAATGGATTCATATGTTATTTGACGAAATGGTAAGTTTAATTTAACTGAATTGTAATGTAATTTTTGACGTGACATTGATTTGATATTGTAGATTTGTGAGGTCAAAACAATAGAAGGCTTCTCTCAGGGCCTTCAACAATATCTTCCACATACACCCTCTTTCCTACCTTGATGTAAGACAGTGTGACATCCAAAAACTTGGAATAAAGTTGACCAATACTTTTATTTTCCCTGCTCGATAAACTCGATTGAAACAAGGGACCTTTAAAAAAGAAAATAGAATCTCTTTTAGGTGAGTTAGAGTGTTCAAATACACGAAATTTTCATTGAAATTCGAAACAGATAAAACATCTTATCAGTAAACTCGGTACAATGTCTCATAGAAAAGTTTTTTTATACATGGGGAATGAAATTAAAATGGGGCGACTAGAAATTGTTATAAGATTATTTACTTGGGTCGAAAATTCCTCGCCTAAGAAAAAAAAGTAATCAAGGAATCGCTCATGATGCGGCTAAACAAATCTCACATGTGGAGGAGAACGGTTTCAAGGGGCGAGATTTAAACCTGCATGGTTCCATTGAACAGTTTGACCTATCTCCCTCTGCATTGATTCGTGCCACTAGCCAAAAATCTTTCCATTCGACAATTTCTAGCCAAGATGTATTATGACCTACGCTTATTTTATTATTATCATTATTATTATTTGATGCAGTTAAATTGTAAAATTTTCCAAAATAATATTAGGCTAGACTTGGCTTTTATGAATGTCCCATCTTTTTCTACAACATTTTATTTCTTAAACTTTACTACTTTAATTGGTCAAGAGCCTCCAAATTAGGTGGTCTGCCATAGTCCTACACTAATTTATAGTAAACATGAAGTAGTCTATGGGTCATAACTTGTATGACCCTGTTTTTTTTTTTTTTTAAATTTTATTTTAAGGTTAGTAGCTGGCGTAATGACCGTCATTCCACTATTAAATTTTAAGGTTGCATGTTTGAATCTCGCCATCGCACTCCTCCCTTGTCAAGTGTTTGACCAAAAAAAAAAAAAAATCATTTTATTTCAAAAATTTAATGATAAAATCACAAGTGTATCCACAAAAAATGAAAAACAAAAGAAAAAACTCGTCAAAGTAGTTCGGAAGGATTTAACAGTTAATTTCTGAAAATCCTAATTTCGTAACTCACACGAGATGTTATGATTAATCCAATAGGTGTCGTTTACAAGTGATTTTAATAGCTGTCACAAGTTTAAGAATATGTGATTGAGATGGTTCTCGTTAATTGAAAACAAAAAGACACTCTTAATGGCCAATGCATAGTGAACTGTCTGTCACATTACTAGTGAAGTTCATTTAAGTTTGATACCAACTACATCATTAATTCCACCATCTTTCCAGTTTTACAACTGCATATAACCAGATGTCCTTCACATGGAATGGATAGCTTCACCTTCACAACGAAGTAGTTTTCTGAGTGATTAAAAAGTTGTTCATCTTCAGACACAACGTGAGAGTTGGGTATGGTGTGCCGTGTGCGTGAGTGCGAGAGTCAGGACCGATCATTCTATCACCTTTCTAACACTATTTGCTCGGTCGATGTTGCATTGCTCTGATTTCTGATTAGAGTTAAAAGAAGGAAAGACCATAGCAACAAACAATAATAAGAAGACAGAATCCTTAAAGAGCAGATAAAAAAATCTCCAACATGATTGATTAGCTCTTACAATCATATTTAGTGAAAATGACAGTAATTATGGAATAATAGAACAATGACATTATATGCTTATGTGGGTTAAACTGCAATGTTGGTTAACAATTTTCCTAGTTGTCCTGGTAGACTTTGTATATATCATAGAAAATACTTTTTTTTTTTCGACGGTCAGAAATATCCGAGTCATCTTACGTACATTTCGGCTAATCTTTTCTTTAGTCCGATCAAAGGCATTCATAGAACAAGGTAAAAGAAATATCATACATGAGAGGAGATTTTGTATATACTTCCCAGTACTAAGAGAAGGGCTTTCTAAGACCACGCTGAGATTAAAGTGTTTATAAGAGATAAATTTCTGATAACTTAGTTGCAATGAGTTGTCATAATTTAAATTCAAAATATCTGAGATTACATTTCGTCTTTGTTACCACTTAAGCTATCATTAGCAACGATAGAGCCACTCATAAGCCAGAGCAGGGCGGCGCCCCAAGACATTTGTCTTGCTTACTACACATACTCATGATATTTTCACTCAAGGCCCCCTTTAATTTTTTAATCTTTCTTTGACCCTTGTATTTTGTGTCCTAAGAAATATTATTGCATTTATATTCTTCTGTTTTAATAAGAACTAAAAAATATTATTACATTTATATTCTTATGTTTTAATAAGAACTAAAAAGTACATGAGTTATGTGTTGAATTTAAATGGTAATTTGGATTAGCATTGCTGGTTAAATTTGGGGATTATTTTTGATTATGTATATTATCAAAAATATGATTTTAATATAATAATAGATGATGAATTATTGGTGGGCTCTTTGATTATGTACATCAAGAAAAAAATTATTGTAAAATTTCACACAAAAAATTAT